ACAGTTCTGAACACATCTATAGTTTAACATTGACCTGTAATATTAACATGTTTGGGCCAAGTGTATATATATTTCAGGTAACAATATGTATGAATATCCTTAGCTGTCATATTAAAGTTGATTATACTTAAATGTGTTTATCTTTGGAATCCTATGACCCATTGTTTTTAAAAAAGTATTGGGTAAACTTCAGAGACATAGCTTCAAACTGACAAGATGGAAGTTCAAAATTAATATTAGAAAATATTTCACAGAAAGAGTAGTGGATACTTGGAACCAATTTCCAGCGGAGGTAATGGCCCAATCATCAGTAACTGAGTTTAAATATACTTGGGATAAACACACATGTCCATCATCTGACAAAAATTATAAAAAATAAACTCAAAGGCCGACTCAAGGGACCACTGGGTCTTTTTCTGCTGTCAGTTTTCTGTGTTTCTATGTTTTGGGCTAAAAGTGATATAAACCGTTATTATAAATAGGAATCTTAAAACCATGGTAGAAAATGTAATGTTTCACCTATAGAAATAAGTACATTTTTCAAGAAAGTAAACACTGTCTCTTTAAGGATGTCTCAGTAAATATTTGAAATATGAGAATAAGGAGGGAAGTATTCTCATTTTTTATTTGAGGCCAAAGGGCAAAAAAACCCAACACTTTTGAAGAGTAAAATACTTAGTGACTTAAAATTACATAACTTTTATATTGCTGCAGATATCTTCAAAGATTTAGATCAAAAGCAGAAATGATGTAGTAATTATGTCACTGGATCTATTAAATAACATTAGTAAAAGCTGTTGGAAAAAAGTAATGTCTAAAACTGCCAAATATAAACATCTTTAGATTCTAAAAGTGCAATTTGGAAATCTGCCAAATGTTCAGTAATATGATGGTAAAGCACATGTATAGTAGAATCTCTTCTTACTTTCCATTTTTTAGGTACTTCTACCTTTTTTATCTAACGGAGGAATTCAAAGATAAAATTTATATGATCAAAAGATAAAAAACCTTGCAGGTTCAAAATTGGAAGTTTATTAAATGTGTTAAACCTGATTAGACCAGATTTTTTTATTTATCTAGTTTTATTTATCTAGTTTTTAATAAGTAAATTTTGCAATGAAGTGGGATATTTAAAAAGTCAGCCAATTTTACATATAATTATTGAGACAGTTGCTGAATTAAATGATAATCCATTTAATAATATTACAGATTGTAAACCAATGTCGGATTTTCTTCTTTTTACTTTTGACTGCCTCATTAGCTCTAATAAAATTTTTCTTTATGTTAGTTTCTCAATAATATCAGATTTAATATCCTTGTCTTTCTCATTTCCATCTGGGACAGAATCCCCACATCCATCAGTTCTGGAATTGAACAGGTTTCTTAATTTTGTTCTATTTGATAATCTCCATTCTTCTTCAGTGGAATTTAAATAGATAGGAAAATTATATTTTAGTGTGGAGACAGTTATTAAGAATCTCTAATTTTGCTGTTTTATCATCTTAATTTACAGAAAGAAAGGAAAAAAAGAGGCTTTAAAATAACAAAAGCAAGTTACCTACAAGGAGTCATTGTATTTTAACACATCGTTAAACTGTGACCACACAAAATAATATTGATTGGTCTTGTATTATATTGATAGATAAGTAACTCATAAAAATAAAATGAATGCACATCAGAAATTCAGGATGTAAACCTGGGGTTGTAAATTGTTTTTGCAACATTGAAGAATAATCATTTTTTACTCTGCTTTATAAAACAGTAATTATTCATATGATAAAGTTTTTAGTTTATAATTTAAATATACTTTCATATATTTAAACCATATTAACAAACAAATCAAAATTCAAACCAGAATGGGGTAATAATAAGATACGCCCATATTATGAGAAAGTGCTTCCTCAACCATTTTAGCATAATGAAATCAGTAACAAGCCCTTTTAAAACATTTTCTGATATGGTCAAAATATTGACAAAATAATTGAATTAGACTATTCTCTAGATCATAAAGATGTTTCTTAATAATTTAAAGGTATTTAGCCATAGATTTTTTAATTTGTATATTCTAACTCTTTATTATGAATTACCTGCAAATAATGCATGTAGCATGCAACTGTACAAGAATGAGCTTAACATCCCTGATAACCAAGATGGGGTGGTCACTGACCTTGAACCAGACATCGTAGAATGTGAAGTCAAATGAGCCTTAGAAAATCTGAGCAACAGGAAAGCTAGTGGAGGTGACAGTATTCCAGCTGAGCTATTTAAAATCTTAAAAGACTATGCAGTAAAGTGCTATACTCAACAGTGGCCACAGGATTGGAAAATTTACATTCCAATTCCAAAGAAGGGCAATGCCCAAGAATGTTCAAACTACTGCATCATTTCACATGCTAGCAAAATTATGCTTAAAATCCTACAAGCTAGGGTCCAGCAGGATGTGGATCGAGAAGTACAAGGCAGGATTTCGAAGAGACAGAGGAACAAGAGATCAAATTGCCAACATACGCTGGATCATGGAGAAAGCTAGGGAGTTCCAGAAAAAATCTACTACTGCTTCATTGACTATGCTAAAGCCTTTGATTGTGTGGATCACAACAAATTGTGACAAGTTCTTAAAGAGATGGGAGTACCAAACCATCTTATTTGTCTCTTGAGAAACCTACAGGTGAAACTTGAAAAATTAGAATATTGTGCAAAAGTTCATTTATTTCAGT